CTATTTATTATATTTACCGAATGCCTATTAGATGATGATTCACCATAAGTCATTTGGTCTAAATAATCATTGGGATGATATGATTTAAGTAAATGATTGAATTCTACTATGTCTTCTTCAGTATGTACTTCGGAAGTATTATTATGAAGTTCGAGGATTTGGATCCTTGTTTTTAATTGGGATAATTCTATTTTTACAGTATTGACTTCAGCTTTGAGGTCAGCAATAGTGGGTTCCTTTTGAGTAGCTTCATGCTGACTGATTCTTTTCATAATATCAAAAAAATTATAATTATCAGGAGGTTTAACCAATGGTGTATATTTTGTTTTTGTTTTGGTTAAATTGATAAACTGAGTAATTATTTCTCTTTTTTCATTGGGGTCGGATATTTTCTCTATCAAGTCTAGAATAAGATTATCTTCTTTTGTTAATGTATGAATATCAGAGGATGAAATAGGGCATCTGCATATTTCATTATCATTTTCTATATCCGAGCTATTTTCTGACCAATAAAAATCATCATTATGTATTGTGCCTATAAAAGACGTATCACTACTAGAAGAAGTAGTATCTGATTCTGAACTATCTGACGAATCATATAATTGAATAATATCGTAGATTTTATTTCTAATGGATTCATCTAAAGTAATAGAGTCTAATTTTTGTTTAACTTTGCATTGGCTTTTATAATGGCCTATTTTCCCACATTTATAACAAACAGGTAATTTTCTCTTATTTTGAAATGATTTAGAAGCAAAGCGTTTTGTAAATTTCTTATATTTTTTCTGCTTAGTTGGAAAAGATTTATATGTTTTATAGGGTTTATCTCGATGTTTTTTCTTTTTATATACTTTATGGATTTTATGTGGTTTGGTTTTATCTATATGACTTTGATCCATATGATAGCCAAATTGTTGGCAAAAATCTCCTAACTCCTTTTTGCCACTTAGATTATGTTTATCTAGTTGCTTTTTGAGTTTTAAGTCTGTGCATAGGGCTAAGCCTTCAGCACAAATTTCTGAAGATAATTCTCCTAAAGTATATTGGGAATAGTTTATAATACCACTATTTTTATTTTTGAGACGTTCTTTGACTTTTTCAGCAAAGAGGTAAGGTAGTCCTGCTACAAATTTCTCTTTCCAATGATCAAGATGACTATCTTCTCGTATGAGTAGTCGGGAGAAAAAGACGTCTTTATACCATTTATAATGTGATAATGTTGGACATCGTAAATTAGATAAAAGATCAGCAGTTCTTGCTGCAAGTATTGAAGTATTTCCTATGAAATGAAGAGCAATCGTATATATCAAGGAATTAACAGCATCACTTTCAGAATATACCATATCTTGGTTATGTTCATTTTTTGCTGTCCATTGTCGAGTATTTGTTAATATTTGTTGTTTTGTTTGTTCATTTAAGTATGAATCCCACCATCCTCTTAGCCATCCAGTGAATCCTGAAACTATGGCTTTAGCTATTTCTTGGTCGTGGCTTCCAGCCATTTTGCAAGCAGATGCATTCATAGTCATATGCTTCATTGTATCTAGGATTCTATGATCAGAGATACCGTCTATATTCCAATCTATAATAGTTCGTCCTGAATATGTAGAAGTATGACTTGTCAAGTCTTCTTCTAATTGTATATCAACGGGAGTTGGTCTTTTATAATATGGACGAGCATTTATTGGTTGCCAATTCTTGCTATAATTAATTCGATTAATACTTTCTGGAGTTAGTTGTATTTCTGAAAATGCCTTTTGTATATTTTGTATTGTATTGGCAATAGATGGTCCTATAGATGGTTCTACAGCTTCATTGGTTTGAAAAAGCACTTCCTCTTGTAGAGTCATATTATCATGTTCAGGGATTTTTGCTTTTCCCTTATCAGTATCTGGGAGAATAGGATTAGGAGTAGATATTACGATTGTAGGTTTAGGTTCTTTTATTTCTAATTTAGATAATTTAGAAATTAATTGTCCCATAAGGGTTGTATTATATTCTCCAATAAGAAATTTTTCTTTATTTAAGTCAGGAGGTGGTTTGAAAAATAATTGTTTTTTCTCTTTGTGAATAGGAGGTTGTAATAAATTTTCTATTCTATTAGATTGTTTTCCAAGTGTATGAAGATAAAGATTGGTGTAGTTATTTTGTTCAATTATGTGTGGGAGCAATTCTATACGAGGTATATTAGCATTATTAAGCTTGTACGGTGTAGCTACTGTTTCGTATACAACTATTTGAGTGGATGGCTCAGTTTGATCTGAAGATTTTGGTACTGTGGTTGCCATTCCTTGTATTTTTAGACTTTGTTCAGGAGGGTGTATGGATTTAATAGTTTTTCCTTCTGTTGTATTGAATGTAGTATATTGGGTTTCTACTGTATTTAATTCAAACTCAGGAATTGGGATATTATGTTGTTTAAGAGTATCTCTTAACCAATCAAAAAAGCATTTCCCTTTATTTCCCTTTTGTCTCCATTTATTGAATTGAGAATGAAATAATTCTACTAATCTAGGTTTGAATTCTTTAACATACCATTTTCTAATATTATCATTTTCTGGGGATAGAAAATCATTTATAATATCATCTCGTGTAAATGTTTCCTCAAGCTGTAGTACTTGGATAAATTCTGGTTCAGCTTGTTCATATTGTGGTATAATAATATTATCAGATGTACGTAGAAATCCGTCCATCTGTGGTTTTGGTATTGGTGGAGTAGTTAGTATAGGAGAGTTCCGAGTATAGGTTGTAATGGATTTTCGTGGGGGTTCTAGATTTCTGAAAGAATGGTTGTTCAGGGTTTCCGATATGGATGTATTCTCTAGAATTCTACTATTATCTGGAATTCTATTATTCGTAGTAAATTGGATTTCAATATTTCCATCCGTATATTCTGTAATTCTATCTGGAATGTTTTGAATAGGATTTTGTGATGATGGTTGGTTGTCATTATGAATAGCCCAGGTTTGGGGTAGGACTATATCTGACCATGATATTGTCTTTGGTATGATTGTATTTGATTTTTCTATATTAGTTTGGAAAAATATCGTTTGTCCCCTATTGTCTATTTGGAATATATTTGGACATAATGTGTTCATTACCTTATAGTATATTCTATAAACAATGGCTATGTTTTGAGAACCTGCCATCATATCAAAACCTTGCGTTTTGAGATTTAAAGATAAAACATTTAATATGTTTGGGTCTGTTAATGATACAGAATAATTTGGAAAGCAATTGAAATATATTGGTCCACTACATAGACTAGTTTCAACCATTCCTAATAACGAATCTGAAAATTTGTTATGTCTAGTATCCCTTAAACAAACTAGAATAGAGTTATTTAATCCTAACCTTGTCAGGGGTTTAACTGCTACTTGTATTAGACCTATATGTAGATATTTATAATTCTTATTTTGGTGAACTTGTAATATTTTTTTGGATAATAATTGAAAATCTTCTTGATTACTAGTAACAGAGAGAGTTTCTTCTACTGTTTTTATGGCATATCCGATTTTGAGGTCGAACGTACCTTTTTTGTAAATATCAGATATGGGAACCTTGGGTATGTTCCAATTCTGGATTTGATTTTCAATATCATTAATAACAAGTTCTTCTTTGTTTTTGATCCTTAGAGTTCTATTAGTTTTACTTGTTGTGGTATCTGTTAGATTCTTAATAAATTTTTCCATTAGAGAAAGTTGGTCCGAGTGTTAAGACACGAGACGAAAAGGTCTTATGCAAAGTACCGCCAAGGCCGAGGAAGAGCCGCTAGGGAAAACGCTGGAC